GGTGAGCACAGCTGCAGGTGAGCAGAGCTGAGGTGAGCAGAGCTGCAGAGCAGAGCGAGGGTGAGCAGAGCTGCAGGTGAGCACAGCTGCAGGTGAGCAGATGCAGGTGAGCAGAGCTGCAGGTGAGCACAGCTGCAGGTGAGCACAGCTGCAGGTGAGCAGAGCTGCAGGTGAGCACAGCTGCAGGTGAGCAGAGCTGCAGGTGAGCAGAGCTGCAGGTGAGCACAGCTGCAGGTGAGCACAGCTGCAGGTGAGCAGAGCTGCAGGTGAGCACAGCTGCAGGTGAGCAGAGCTGCAGGTGAGCAGAGCTGCAGGTGAGCACAGCTGCAGGTGAGCACAGCTGCAGGTGAGCACAGCTGCAGGTGAGCAGAGCTGCAGGTCAGCAGAGCTGCAGGTGAGCACAGCTGCAGGTGAGCACAGCTGCAGGTGAGCAGAGCTGCGTCTCCGTCCTGTCAGATTAGACTTCACTCGCGTTTAGGTCCATATCGAGAGAAAGAGAAATAATCTGAATTCAGTGTTTACTTTGACGCGGGGTGAGCAGCAGAGGTGGGGAGAGGCGGGGCTCATCATTATCAGAACATGATCGTATAGGGCGCACACACGGAGCCGTTGGACCCCCCAGAGCGTTGCGTATGCCGGTCTATCCACCTTGGGACCCGTTATCGTTTCCGCAGTCATCCTCGTGCGGCCGAACGGTCTATGTGACACTAAACAGTAACGCAACCGGCCGTATGCGCCCTCGTGGGGCGAGCACCTAAAGGTTCCTCACCTGATCCTGCGCCTCCTCCTCGCTGGAGGCCGAGGACTCCCTGCAGCACACACAGTTGTTTCTCTCCTCCTCGTTGGTTTCCTCGCTGCTGCAGCACACACACTTCTTCTCCTTCTCCTCCTCCTCCTCTTCGTCTTCTTCTTCTTCACCTCCTGCTGCTTTGTCTTCTTCTTCTTCACCTCCTGCTGAAACACACGGGAGGGGAAGGAACAGGTTCAAATGGGACTCACTTAGAACCAAACAATTCTGCGTTTTCTATTTTTATTATTTTAGAAATATCTTAAAATTAAGACTTTTTTAAAATTCCTTATAAATGTGTTATTTTTATCTTTTAAACACAACTTCTCCCTGGTGTGTACGTTCCACTCATCACACACACACACACACACACACACACACACACACACACACACCTGAACACACACACACCTGAACACACACACACCTGAACACACACACACCTGAACACACACACACACACCTGAACACACACACACACCTGAGCACACACACACCTGAACACACACACACACACACCTGAACACACACACACACACACCTGAACACACACACACCTGAACACACACACACACACACACACACACCTGAACACACACACACACTCCTCTCACCCGGCGTGTCTCCCAGCCTCAGCGTCTCCAGCTTGGCGGGCGGAGGGAGTTTCTGACGGAGAGGTTTGATGTTGAACGCCTGGAACACCTTCTTCTCTGCCTTCTCCAGCTCTGAGGGCTCCTCTGCTGGTTCTGGTCCTGGTTCTGGTCCGGTCTCTGGGAGTCTGGTGGCACACTGGGGGTCCTGGTCTTTGACGGGGGGCTGCAGGGCCATAGTCTCCTGCTTGCGGATGCTCTCCAGCTCCATCTGGATCTGCCTGTATTTGGACAGCAGGTCCTCGAAGGACTCGTCCCCGGCCCTCTCTGCTTTAGAGGGTCCGTGAGCCGGCCTCCTGCCCCTCAGCGGCTTCTCTGGGACCCTCGTTAAAGAAACTATTATCACACGGTTACACTCAAGCTCCTAGGAACAATAATACAGATCATGACATGGGTTCACAAAGTAAATAGGGTTTTATAAACACAGAAACAAGTGGTTCCTGAACTACAGAGGAGCAGAGCAAGGGATGATCTATAATATAATACCTGCTGCTATAACCCTCTCACACCCAGGAGCAGAACCAGGTCTCCGGGTCAGACTGGATCTGTGCGTTAAATTCATTTCTGAGAGGATACGTTTTCTGGAGGGGGAGTCCTTCTTGTTACCTTGACCATCTCCGATAGCGAACCGACCAACAGGACCCTCTCCTGGACCGAACCAACTATCTCCAGGTCCGAACCGAGCGGGCGGACCCTCTCCGGTACCGAACCGACCCAGAGGAACATCTCCTGGACCAAACCGCGCCGGGGTACTAGTTCCTGGACCGAAACGACCGCCTGGACCCTCTCCAGGTCCGAACCGACCGCCTGGACCCTCTCCGGGACCTAATCGGCCGACTGGACCGTCTCCTGATCCAAACCGACCGATGGGACTCTCTCCCGGACCGAACCGACCGACAGGACCCTCTCCGGTACCGAACCGACCGACAGGACCCTCTCCGGTACCGAAGCGACCCACAGGACCGTCTCCTGATCCAAAGCGACTGATGGGACTCTCTCCGGGACCTAATCGACTATCTCCAGGTCCGAACCGACCGACAGGACCCTCTCCAGGACCGAACTGACTATCTCCTGGACCAAACCTAGACAGGGGACCCTCTCCGATACCGAAGCGAGCGACAGGACCCTCTCCAGGACCGAACCGACCCACAGGACCGTCTCCGGAACCTAACCGACTATCTCCGGGACCGAAACGACCGCCTGGACCCTCTCCAGGACCGAACCGACCCACAGGACCCTCTCCAGGACCTAACCGACCCTCTCCAGGTCCGAACCGACTATCTCCAGGACCGAACCGACCGACAGGTCCCTCTCCAGGACCTAACCGACTATCTCCGGTACCGAACCGCCCCCGTCCCCCTCTCCCGCCCCGGCCACCTCGGTTCCGGCCCCCTCGGTTCGGCACAGCCCGGTGCCTGAAGCGGCCCAGCGCCCCGTGACTCCGCTCCCAGAAGCTGGAACTCGGGCTCGGCGGAGGACCGGGGGCCGGAGGAGGAGGACTGGCGGGCCGGTCGGGCTGCCGGTGGATCGGCGGGAACGGGAGTCCGCGGTGGTACGGGGGGCGGAGGTCTGGCGGCATGTTGTGGGTCTGGGGGCCCGGTTGGGGACCCGGATGGTGAGGGGGTCTCAGTGGAGGATCTCCCGGTCTAGGTGGAAGATCTTCCGGCCTGTTCCCCTCCCCCCCCCGTGGAAGATCACTCTCTTCGGGCTCATCGTCGCAGATCTCTCCGTCCTCCAGCTCTTCCGTCCTCGGGTCCATGTCTCTCTAATCACCCGCTACTCTCTCTCTCTAATGTCCGCACGAGCCCCGTTACCTCGTGGGGCTGAAACCGGTAAACAGCGCGTGCTTCAACGGACACACGGCGATCGGTCCGATCGAGCTCTGTTAGCTTAAATTAGCTAGCTCTTCCAAATCTCACGTGGCATAACGAGAGTTGAGAGACAGGAAACTGCCCATATAAGGAGAAGCAACTTATTTGTTGTTATTTATCTAGTTTCTTTTAACCTTTTTTTGTAATAAATATACTATTTATATTTATCAATCCAGTGCTCCATCTTTCATATGTATAAGAAAAGGAACAACTTTTAAAAGCTAGAAAATAACCAAATAAACATTAAAGCCAATCTTCCAAATGTATATTGATAAAAACGTCAATCCCAGCATTTATAACCACTAGCGTAGTTATATTTTATTTCTTATTTTAAAAACGAAATAAATAAATAATGAACTGATAAAACATACTTCGCATGCGCCACCGGAAGCTGAGTTGTCAGTTTTGTTTTGGAAGCTGACAGGCACGTGAGCTGGGGACGTCATCACGAGAGAGGGAAGAAGACATGGCGGCGGACTCTGTCCTGAAGGTAAAACCCTGTTTAGTCCTCATCTAATAACAGTGTGTGTGTGTATTACAGGAGTTCAACTGAGCTGAGACACTGCTACACCGAGCAGAGGACCAGAAGCTAGCTTAGCATCTGTGCTAACTGTTTACATACCAGACATCAGACAGGGGAATTACAGGGAAATACACAAACACTGTTTATTACTTATTACTGTGTCAACGGGGAGTAAGTACATTCAGAGGTACTTGTACTTTACTTAAGTATTTACATGTTATGCTACTGTGTACTCCACTACAGTTCAGAGGTAAATGGTGTACTTTTAGGACTTTTACTGTAACAGAGTATTCCTACACTCTGGTACTTCTACTTTTACTCAAGTACAAGATCTGAGTACTTCTACTTTCACTCAAGTACAAGATCTGAATACTTCTACTTATACTGAAGTACAAGATCTGAGTACTTCTACTTTTACTCAAGTACAAGATCTGAGTACTTCTACTTTTACTCAAGTACAAGATCTGAGTACTTCTACTTTCACTCAAGTACAAGATCTGAATACTTCTACTTTTTCTCAAGTACAAGATCTGAGTACTTCTACTTTTACTCAAGTACAAGATCTGAGTACTTCTACTTTTACTCAAGTACAATATCTGAATACTTCTACTTTTACTCAAGAACAAGATCTGAGTACTTCTACTTTTACTCAAGTACAATATCTGAATACTTCTACTTTTATTCAAGTACAAGACCTGAGTACTTCTACTTTTACTCAAGAACAAGACCTGAGTACTTCTACTTTTACTCAAGAACAAGATCTGAGTACTTCTGCTTTTATTCAAGTACAAGACCTGAGTACTTCTACTTTTACTACAAGTACAATATCTGAGTACTTCTACTTTTACTCAAGTACAAGATCTGAGTACTTCTACTTTTACTACAAGTACAATATCTGAGTACTTCTACTTTTACTCAAGTACAAGACCTGAGTACTTCTACTTTTACTCAAGTACAAGATCTGAATACTTCTACTTTTACTACAAGATCTGAGTACTTCTACTTTTACTCTAGTACAATATCTGAATACTAATACTTTTACTCAAGTACAAGAAGAAGCCTGAAGAAGATGGTTGCTGTGTTTCATGTCACTGTTAGTATTTGTACGCAGCTGCGACTGACAGACAGACTTTTACTTGTGTTTCTGAATTAGGGGCAGGTAAAATAAGACTTTCTTCTTTCTTCCTCTTCCCATCATGGGCAAAGGGAACATGTTTGAAGTTACGTTAATATAAAGTCCGTCCCTCAGGTGTTATTTGAACTTGAAGGAGTGTTCATCCACCCGAGCAGCGAGGAGGGCGGCAGCGAGCAGGATTCACTCATCTCCGGCTGCCTGAGGATTGTTGACAAGGTAAAACATAAACTACATGTTGTTAAATCTTTCAAACACCGTCCTACATACTCACTTTTACAGACTCCTGTTGGCTGACTGCTGCCCTACACTGCACGTATTACTCATTCTGAAAGACGTACAAAAAGTTATGCTCCACTTTAGGATATTTAACCAGTAAAGAGCTAATGTTGGGCTATAAAGGAACTACAGCACGGTCACAGGACTTCACGTCACCACCGCTAAGCTAAAGGAGGCTAATGTTGGGCTATAAAGGAACTACAGCACGGTCACACGACTTCACGTCACCACCGCTAAGCTAAAGGAGGCTAATGTTGGGCTATAAAGGAACTACAGCACAGTCACATGACTTCACGTCACCACCGCTAAGCTAAAGGAGGCTAATGTTGGGCTATAAAGGAACTACAGCACGGTCACAGGACTTCACGTCAGCACCGATAAGCTAAAGGAGGCTAATGTTGGGCTATAAAGGAACTACAGCACGGTCACATGACTTCACGTCACCACCGCTAAGCTAAAGGAGGCTAATGTTGGGCTATAAAGGAACTACAGCACGGTCACAGGACTTCACGTCACCACCGCTAAGCTAAAGGAGGCTAATGTTGGGCTATAAAGGAACTACAGCACGGTCAAATGACTTCACGTCACCACCGCTAAGCTAAAGGAGGCTAATGTTGGGCTATAAAGGAACTACAGCACGGTCACATGACTTCACATCACCACCGCTAAGCTAAAGGAGGCTAATGTTGGGCTATAAAGGAACTACAGCACAGTCACATGACTTCACGTCACCACCGCTAAGCTAAAGGAGGCTAATGTTGGGCTATAAAGGAACTACAGCACGGTCACAGGACTTCACGTCACCACCGCTAAGCTAAAGGAGGCTAATGTTGGGCTATAAAGGAACTACAGCACGGTCACATGACTTCACGTCACCACCGCTAAGCTAAAGTAGGCTAATGTTTGGCTATAAAGGAACTACAGCACGGTCACAGGACTTCACGTCACCACCGCTAAGCTAAAGGAGGCTAATGTTGGGCTATAAAGGAACTACAGCACGGTCACATGACTTCACGTCACCACCGCTAAGCTAAAGGAGGCTAATGTTGGGCTATAAAGGAACTACAGCACGGTCACATGACTTCACGTCACCACCGCTAAGCTAAAGGAGGCTAATGTTGGGCTATAAAGGAACTACAGCACGGTCACAGGACTTCACGTCACCACCGCTAAGCTAAAGGAGGCTAATGTTGGGCTATAAAGGAACTACAGCACGGTCACAGGACTTCACGTCACCACCGCTAAGCTAAAGGAGGCTAATGTTGGGCTATAAAGGAACTACAGCACGGTCACAGGACTTCACGTCACCACCGCTAAGCTAAAGGAGGCTAATGTTGGGCTATAAAGGAACTACAGCACGGTCACATGACTTCACGTCACCACCGCTAAGCTAAAGGAGGCTAATGTTGGGCTATAAAGGAACTACAGCACAGGTCACATGACTTCACGTCACCACCGCTAAGCTAAAGGAGGCTAATGTTGGGCTATAAAGGAACTACAACACAGTCACATGACTTCACGTCACCACCGCTAAGCTAAAGGAGGCTAATGTTGGGCTATAAAGGAACTACAGCACGGTCACAGGACTTCACGTCACCACCGCTAAGCTAAAGGAGGCTAATGTTGGGCTATAAAGGAACTACAGCACGGTCACATGACTTCACGTCACCACCGCTAAGCTAAAGGTGGCTAATGTTGGGCTATAAAGGAACTACAGCACGGTCACATGACTTCACGTCACCACCGCTAAGCTAAAGGTGGCTAATGTTGGGCTATAAAAGAACAGAATAGCAACCAAAAACACATTCAGAAACCATTGACCTCCAGGCCAGGGGACAGGAAGTGAGGAAATGCTGACTCATGGCAGGGTTTAGGACTCATTCCTGCAGCTCTAAAAAATAGATCTGGTTTGTCATTAATATTCTGAAAGCACTTTATAAACAAAATAAATGATTGTTCTAAAAATGGACAGTCCTATTTATTTGCATGTATGGCAGAGGCCTCTGTCACATGTTGACTCACTGTGAGCTCTATGTTCTGTCAGCTCATCACAGCAAGGCATGTTTATCTACACAGCACTTTTCAACAGACGGCAGTTCAAAGTGCTTTACAGAAATGAAAGGCAGAACATGAAGAAATAGTGAAACACATTATAAACACGAAGAAGGCAACGATAGTAACACATGAATAACAGTGCAGTGTGAGAAGAAAGCCTTCAGCCTGGATTCAGAAGGACCCGCAGCTGGGAGTTTGCTCCAGATGTTATCCCTCACCAAATCCTCACATTCCTCCACCTGTAGCTTCCTTTCATCCTATAGTGTTATTAATCTCTGTCTGTGTGTGTGTGTGTGTGTGTGTGTGTGTGTGTGTGTGTGTGTGTGTGTGTGTGTGTGTGTGTGTGTGTGTGTGTGTGTGTGTGTGTGTGTGTGTGTGTGTGTGTGTGTGTGTGTGTGTGTGTGTGTGTGTGTGTGTGTGTGTGTGTGTGTGTGTGTGTGTGTGTGTGTGTGTGTGTGTGTGTGTGTGTGTGTGTGTGTGTGTGTGTGTGTGTGTGTGTGTGTGTGTGTGTGTGTGTGTGTGTGTGTCAGGATGCTGACGTGCTGGTGGAGTACCGCCCTCTGGAGGACTCGGACCCCTCCAACATGCTGTGTGCTGGGAAGGTTTGTCTCTTCTCTTTGTGCCATTCTGTCAGAGCTAGGCCAGCCTTTAAAGACAGCGACAGTGTGACCGGAAACAAAGACGTGAAATATTGATTTCATTCACCATGTAACAGCGTGGACAGTTTGACATGTACGAAGCAGTTTGACATGTACGAAGCAGTTTGACATGTACGAAGCAGTTTGACATGTACGACTGAGAGTTGATCTGACGGAAGGTGTTTCCGCAGGACTCCAGTTCAGTGATGGAGTGGGACCAGTGTTCAGGGGAGAAGCTGTTAGAGACACAGCAGAGCTACGAGACCGAGTGGGACATGATCAACGCCGTGTCCTTCAAGAGGAGAAGCGTCACTAACGGAGAGGGTGAGACACACAGCTAACAGTTAGCATCTGCTGCTAACACCCTGCCACCTGCACAGACACATAGCTAACAGTTAGCATCTGCTGCTAACACCCTGCCACCTGCACAGACACACAGCTAACAGTTAGCATCTGCTGTTAACACCCTGCCACCTGCACAGACACACAGCTAACAGTTAGCATCTGCTGCTAACACCCTGCCACCTGCAGACACATAGCTAACAGTTAGCATCTGCTGCTAACACCCTGCCACCTGCACAGACACACAGCTAACAGTTAGCATCTGCTGCTAACACCCTGCCACCTGCACAGACACACAGCTAACAGTTAGCATCTGCTGCTAACACCCTGCCACCTGCACAGACACACAGCTAACAGTTAGCATCTGCTGCTAACACCCTGCCACCTGCACAGACACACAGCTAACAGTTAGCATCTGCTGCTAATACCCTGCCACCTGCACAGACACACAGCTAACAGTTAGCATCTGCTGCTAACACCCTGCCACCTGCACAGACACACAGCTAACAGTTAGCATCTGCTGCTAACACCCTGCCACCTGCACAGACACACAGCTAACAGTTAGCATCTGCTGCTAACACCCTGCCACCTGCACAGACACACAGCTAACAGTTAGCCCTCAGGAACAACAACAAGTCTCCTCGTGCCTTCTCCTGTGATTACTCAAGAATACAGACGTTGTGTTGACAGTAAAGCTAACCCTGTTCAGGAGGAACTGAAAGAGTGTCTGTCAGCTGACGGACTCTTTCACTGCCTTCTTTAAACACAGATCAGCTGTTAACTCTGCCACTCTGTTGATACTGATTACATATTATTGTTAGGATTCATTCATGTAGTTTATATTTAACACATGATTTAAATGTCCTATATTTTACATCAGGCCCTCAGATGTCCGCTAAACCCTGCTCCTTGTCTCCCAGGCTCTCTAAACCCTTCTCTTTGTCTCTCAGGCTCTCTAAACCCTTCTCTTTGTCTCCCAGGCTCTCTGAACCCTGCTCCTTGTCTCCCAGGATCTTTGAACCCTGCTCCTTGTCTCCCAGGCTCTCTGAACCACAGCTCTGAGAGGAGCAGATGGGCGTTCAGCTTCTCTCTCAGTGACCTGCGCTGCATCAGAGTGAAGGAGCAGGGCTGGAGCTTCCTGCTGCTGCAGCTGAGCGAGTCGTGCAGATCTCCTCCAGCGCTCCACTTCCACCAGGGCGGCAGCAGAGACTTCCTGGATAGCCTGAGGAGGTTTGCTGTGATCAGCCAGTGAGTGAACACCTGTCATTGGATCAATTCATTTGTTTGACTACCCAGGGGCGGTTCTAGGGGGGCCAAACACTGACCAGGGCCCCCCCTCCAATTTCTTTTTACAATATTACGATTTATTGGAACTAAATGAAATCAGAGACCCGGATGTACAGTGGAGGTTAAACTGTTCATTACCTTATATAAGCAAATATGCTTTTTAATTAAATTGTCACTTAAAGTTACTAAAACAAATACCTTTACAAAAACAAATACCAATTACTGTTTATTTTACACAATTACTTTATACTGTCTTTGTCTTTTCAACCCGCTTTTATTCTGCCCTCTCATGAAATAACTGCCCCCCCAGTGCATTGGTCTGGAACCGCCCTGCGACGACCCGATTTGCATGTCTGCCTGATTCACACTGCAAGCGCGAGTTGGTCTGCCATAATCTTACAAACTATATCCTTAAAAAGTGTGTTGGTCAGTATAAAGTCAGAACTAATAGTCTCTGTTATCTGGCCCTAAAGCTGGAAAGACCTTTCAGATTGAGCATTAATTCTCATATGAGAAACAAACTGATCTAATAACAGAGTTTTGTTCTTGAATCCACTTTTTTTCCAGGAATCTCAAAAGAAAATAACTAGATATGAATGATTAATGCCATAAATGATTGCATACGTACAGTTTCTTATTCCTCCAGTGTGAAGGCTGTCAATCAGAAGCTAAATCCATGTCTCTCTTATTCTAACAAAGTACTGAACCCACTAAATGGATTTCTCATTATCAAATAATCGGGAAATCACGTTGTTAAAACAATAACTTTAACTCTCTCTCGTTCAGATTAATGTGGTCGCGGTTTCTGCTTTGCAAAACGCCGCTGTGTCAAATGTCCCTCTTGGGTTGCCGTACGTAGCTGAACGATATGGAGGATTATTATAATTGTATTATTATAAACTACATGTCCCACAATGCATCTAATTTTGTGACACTGACGAGTCTTGCAATTATTTGCCCCAGACTTCTGCTTTCAGACGCAGATAGTTGTGAAGTTATTACCCTATCAGATAAGAATCCAATGCAGTGATATATAATACAGTATTTTATATATTTATATAGTCTTAAAGTTACAACCGGCCCTTTGAGTGCAAACATAATGCTGACGTGGCGCCCGAGGAAATTGAGTTTGACCCCCCTGATGTAGATGATAGGAAAGGAGGTTTGAAACTTCCTTTATCACCTCCTTTAGGAAACACTGGACCTTCCTTTATCACCTCCTTTAGGAAACACTGGACCTTCCTTTATAACCTCCTTTAGCTTAGGAAACACTACGAAAGGAGAGGAGAAAATGCTGCCCCACAATGCATTGCAGCCGCAGCATTTGCCGTCACTCAACAGTCGGCCGTTCACGGAAACAACCGATTATGACGGAGAAATTATATCATGAAAGTTACGGTGCTTATTAAGCTTTTTAAAACGTATGTGGTAAGTTGCCAAAGTGCTTTGTTTTGAACGTTCATCAGTATTATAATCAAAGAGAGAAATATGAACGTTAGTTTTTACTGAAATGATCAAATAAAGTCTCTGTCTTTACTGAGCTGTGGGGTTTGTTAACAAGATGTTTCAACAATAAGTTTCTCTTCACTTTTTTATTTCAATTCCAGCTTTGGTCCTGAAGAATATGTTTCTCTGTTGTCCACGTTCATAAAGCATAAAGCAACCGCATCAGAGCACAGAGTCTCTAGATGAGTTTACAGTAGTCCCTCCTTCTTATTGAACACCCATGTAGTCAGTGTCAGGGAATCATTTGCCCTGCATGTCCCCCTTCGCCCTCTGACGCAGCTGACCAACCTCGAGCAGCCGCTATCTCCCTTAAGGAGGCGCTGCCCTAGCAAGTTGTTGTTGCTACCAGTTTGTGATCGGGCAGCTCTCGGTCAGAGATAGTTATTGTTGTGGGACACCTGGAACACATCCTTCTCGGGGTGTAGATGACCCCGAGCCATAAGCGACAACAACTGTGATTCAGTGTCCTCAGCTGTTTAGTCTATCTATTGAAGAATGTTGATTATTACGCTCTGAACTAGTTAAAACCTCGAGCTACAGGAGAGGTCTTCAGGATTGATTGTGCCATCTCAACCGTGTGCCATCTCAACCGTGTGGTCAGACACGTCACGGGCCACGTCACGGGCCACGTCACGGGCCACGTTTTAATGTGCTTAAAATGCATGAAAAACTCACATTTTTCAAAATGGCCGACTTCTTGAGGGGCGGGGCTAATGGAATCTATTTACAAATATGTCCGCAATTCCATGAGGAATGTCTGTGCCAAAATTCGTGAAGTTCTGAGAAACTATATGTGACTACCACACAATAGGGGGCGCTAGTAAGCAGTTTTTTTGAAAAATGGCGTTGTTTTTTTACATTCTCAAAAAGGTCGTGGGCTCTGACGTTTGTCCCAAGTTTTGCGTCCGAAGCTCATTTTATGCTATCGCAATTTAAAAAATATGTATAGGCCACGCCCACATTCTGAATTTGTTGCGACACTTTAAATCTGAGTTCGTAGTCGCCCCGAGAGTATGTGTAAAACATTTTTTAAAAAATGTGTCCATCCGCTCTTGAGTTATAAATTGGTGGTGTTTTTGGCGCCCCCTATATTCCAAAATAAAAATGCTTTGGTGTGCATATTCCCCAAGAAAGACTGAACCCATTTACCAAAATCTGTGATGTTTGGATACATTGTTGATGAGTTATGAGCATTTCTTTCTAAGCCCCGCCTTTTTGCGAGTACGTTTTGATTGACGGCGGCAATACTTATCGTCCTAACATGCTCATCTCCGACGGTAATGTGTCTGACCCTCCACCGATGCTGTATACGAGGTTTGGTGTTGAAAAACTGAAAATTGAAATTTAAGTGAATATTTAACTGTTTTGAACATTATGCTAATTGCAATTTAAAAAAATGTAGGCGGAGCTTAGGGTTCCAAGAGGATTACTTGTAGAGCAGGTCTACCCGGATATGTGTAAATGTCAGGTCATTTGGAGTTACGGTGCGACTTTGTAAATGTATTCCGAAATGGAATTTTGATAGGTGGCGCTAGTGAGCAGGTTGGAATATTTAACCCATTGACTCCAGAATATTGAATTTTTCACCAGTCCTGGCGTTCGTGCAAAATTATACAACTTTTGAAGCATCCTAAAGACCTCAAAAAGAGGGAACGCCAGCACTATAATAATAATACCACCAATAACAATAGGTTCCTCGCACTTCGCGCTAGGACACCGTCGGGTCCTAATAATAATTGGGAGGGGGGGCGTGGCTGTGATTATGTTCTCTGAGGGGAGGCTCACCTTCCCACACTTTGGGGACCCCTGGAATAGTGGATAAGGAACTGTTTTTTGGACAATTCGACTGTAACCTAAGTCCGTGCTTTATTATCTGTAGTGTCCTTATGCCTCCTCCTCATTCAGTGTTTTATAGACATGACACTAATTAACACAACAGCTGGAATGTGTCTCACTCTTTAATGCTCAATATGCATTTAAATAGAGAGATCTTAGTCAACTATAAAACAACATTAATAATAAACAGCAACAGTTCCACACCTGGTCCACTGGGGGGGGGGCTGTAGTAACTATATTTCAGTGTTATTTTGGACATTATTTCAGTACCGTGTGCAAAGAGGACGTGGTGTGTTTATCTCTCCTCTGGTCAGATATCTGTTATTAAAGTTGTTATCTCAGCAAGAGAAGCACAGCAACAGGATATTATGGTGACGTGCTGCTGACGTCTGGCTCCTGATTGGCTGATACAGATGACTCACTGTCTGACACACACTCAAATAAAAACACCATGAGATCAAATTTAATTAAAAGTGTGTGTGTTTGTGTGTGTGTGTGTCCTTCTTCCTGACTAATGCAGATCGTCTCCACATTTCAGATGCTGGAACCTGTTTTAAGTTGTTTTCTTGCGTGTGTGTGTGTGTGTGTGTGTGTGTGTGTGTGTGTGTGTGTGTGTGTGTGTGTGTGTGTGTGTGTGTGTGTGTGTGTGTGTGTGTGTGTGTGTGTGTGTGTGTGTGTGTGTGTGTGTGTGTGTGTGTGTGTGTGTGTGTGTGTGTGTGTGTGTGTGTGTGTGTGTGTGTGTGTGTGTGTGTGTGTGTGTGTGTGTGTGTGTGTGTGTGTGTGTGTGTGTGTGTGTGTGTGTGTGTGTGTGTGTGTGTGTGTGTGTGTGTGTGTGTGTGTGTGTGTGTGTGTGTGTGTGTGTGTGTGTGTGTGTGTAGGGCTGCAGGAGAGGAGGTCTGTCTGATGGTCAGCTCCCCTAACAGAGCTCTGTCTCAGTCCTTCGAGAATCTGCTGGACGAAAACAACTTTGGTCTCGTTAATGTAAGAAAATAAATCATTATTCACCTGTAGACACCTGTCAGCATGTCCACAGGTTACTGGTTCACCTGTAGACACCTGTCAGCATGTCTACAGGTTACTGGTTCACCTGTAGACACCTGTCAGCATGTCTACAGGTTACTGGTTCACCTGTAGACACCTGTCAGCATGTCGACATGTTACTGGTTCACCTGTAGACACCTGTCAGCATGTCTACAGGTTACTGGTTCACCTGTAGACACCTGTCAGCATGTCCACAGGTTACTGGTTCACCTGTAGACACCAGTCAGCATGTCTACAGGTTACTGGTTCACCTGTAGACACCAGTCAGCATGTCCACAGGTTACTGGTTCACCTGTAGACACCTGTCAGCATGTCTACAGGTTACTGGTTCACCTGTAGACACCTGTCAGCATGTCGACATGTTACTGGTTCACCTGTAGACACCTGTCAGCATGTCTACAGGTTACTGGTTCACCTGTAGACACCTGTCAGCATGTCCACAGGTTACTGGTTCACCTGTAGACACCAGTCAGCATGTCTACAGGTTACTGGTTCACCTGTAGACACCTGTCAGCATGTCTACAGGTTACTGGTTCACCTGTAGACACCTGTCAGCATGTCCACAGGTTACTGGTTCACCTGTAGACACCTGTCAGCATGTCGACAGGTTACTGGTTCACCTGTAAGACACCTGTCAGCATGTCACAGGTTACTGGTTCACCTGTAGACACCTAGTCAGCATGTCTACAGGTTACTGGTCACCTGTAGACACCTGTCAGCATGTTCCACAGGTTACTGGTTCACCTGTAGACACCTGTCAGCAGTCTACAGGTTACTGGTTCACCTGTAGACACCAGTCAGCATGTCGACAGGTTACTGGTTCACCTGTAGACACCGTCAGCATGTCGACAGGTTTACTGGTTCACTGTAGACCCCTGTCAGCATGTCCACAGGTTACTGGTTCACCTGTAGACACCTGTCAGCATTGTCCTACAGGTTACTGGTTCACCTGTAGACAACCGTTCAGCATGTCCCACAGGGTTACTGGTTCACCTGTAGACACCTGTCAGCATGTCCACAGGTTACTGGTTCACCTGAAGACACCTGTCAGCATGTCCACAGGTTACTGGTTCACCTGTAGACACCAGTCAGCATGTCCACAGGTTACTGGTTCACCTGTAGACACCAGTCAGCATGTCCACAGGTTACTGGTTCACCTGTAGACACCTGTCAGCATGTCCACAGGGTTACTGGTTTCACCTGTAAACACCTGTCAGCATGTGTCTACAGGTTACTGGTTCACCTGTAGACACCTGTCAGAATGTCGACAGGTTACTGGTTCACCTGTAGACAGCTGTCAGCATGTCCACAGGTTACTGGTTCACCTGTAGACACCAGTCAGCATGTCACAGGTACTGGTTCACCTGTAGACACCTGTCAGCAGTGTCCACAGGTACTGGTTCACCTGTAGACACTGTCAGCATGTCCACAGGTTACTGGTTCACCTGTAGACACATGTCAGCATGTTGTCCACAGGTTACTGGTTCACCTGTAGACACCTGTCAGCATGTCCACAGGTTACTGGTTCACCTGTAGACACCTGTCAGCATGTGTCCACAGGTTACTGGTTCACCTGTAGACCACCTACCTGTCAGCATGTCCTACAGGTTACTGGTTCACCTGTAGACACCTGTCAGGCATTGTCTACAGGTTACTGGTTCACCTGTAGACACCTGTCAGCATGTCCACAGGTTACTGGTTCACCTGTAGACACCTGTCAGCATGTCCACAGGTTACTGGTTCACCTGTAGACACCAGTCAGCATGTCCTACAGGTTACTGGTTCACCTGTAGACACCATGTCAGCATGTCCACAGGTTACTGGTTCCACCTGTAGACACCTGTCAGCATGTCCACAGGTTACTGGTTCACCTGTAGACACCAGTCAGCATGTCCTACAGGTTACTGGTTCACCTGTAGACACCTCGTCAGCATGTGTCCACAGGTTACTGGTTCACCTGTAGACACCTGTCAGCATGGTCCTACAGGTTACTGGTTCACCTGTAGACACCTGTCAGCATGTCCACAGGTTACTGGTTCACCTGTAGACACCTGTCGGCATGTGTCCACAGGTTACTGGTTCACCTGTAGACACCAGTCAGCATGTCTACAGGTTACTGGTTCACCTGTAGACACCTGTCGGCATGTGTCCACAGGTTACTGGTTCACCTGTAGACACCTGTCAGCATGTGTCCACAGGTTACTGGTTCACCTGTAGACACCTGTCAGCATGTCCACAGGTTACTGGTTCACCTGTAGACACCAGTCAGCATGTCCACAGGTTACTGGTTCACCTGTAGACACCTGTCAGCATGTCCACAGGTTACTGGTTCACCTGTAGACACCTGTCAGCATGTCCACAGGTTACTGGTTCACCTGTAGACACCTGTCAGCATGTCCACAGGTTACTGGTTCACCTGTAGACACCTGTCAGCATGTGTCCACAGGTTACTGGTTCACCTGTAGACACCTGTCAGCATGTCTACAGGTTACTGGTTCACCTGTAGACACCTGTCAGCATGTCCACAGGTTACTGGTTCACCTGTAGACACCAGTCAGCATGTCCACAGGTTACTGGTTCACCTGTAGACACCTGTCAGCATGTGTCCACAGGTTACTGGTTCACCTGTAGACACCAGTCAGCATGTCCACAGGTTACTGGTTCACCTGTAGACACCAGTCAGCATGTCCACAGGTTACTGGTTCACCTGTAGACACCAGTCAGCATGTGTCCACAGGTTACTGGTTCACCTGTAGACACCTGTCAGCATGTGTCCACAGGTTACTGGTTCACCTGTAGACACCAGTCAGCATGTCCACAGGTTACTGGTTCACCTGTAGACACCTGTCAGCATGTCCACAGGTTACTGGTTCACCTGTAGACACCTGTCAGCATGTCCACAGGTTACTGGTTCACCTGTAGACACCAGTCAGCATGTCCACAGGTTACTGGTTCACCTGTAGACACCTGTCAGCATGTCCACAGGTTACTGGTTCACCTGTAGACACCAGTCAGCATGTCCACAGGTTACTGGTTCACCTGTAGACACCAGTCAGGATGTCGACAGGTTACTGGTTCACCTGTAGACACCAGTCAGGATGTCGACAGGTTACTGGTTCACCTGTAGACACCTGTCAGCATGTCCACAGGTTACTGGTTCACCTGTAGACACCAGTCAGCATGTCCACAGGTTACTGGTTCACCTGTAGACACCAGTCAGGATGTCGACAGGTTACTGGTTCACCTGTAGACACCTGTCAGCATGTCCACAGGTTACTGGTTCACCTGTAGACACCAGTCAGGATGTCGACAGGTTACTGGTTCACCTGTAGACACCAGTCAGCATGTCCACAGGTTACTGGTTCACCTGTAGACACCAGTCAGCATGTCCACAGGTTACTGGTTCACCTGTAGACACCTGTCAGCATGTCCACAGGTTACTGGTTCACCTGTAGACACCAGTCAGCATGTCCACAGGTTACTGGTTCACCTGTAGACACCAGTCAGGATGTCGACAGGTTACTGGTTCACCTGTAGACACCTGTCAGCATGTCGACAGGTTACTGGTTCACCTGTAGACACCAGTCAGCATGTCGACAGGTTACTGGTTCACCTGTAGACACCAGTTTGCAGGTGTTTATAGATATATAGAGAGATAGATACTTTATTGATCCCAATTTGGGAAATTCTTTCGTCGCAGTGTTCAGACCATAGACTGGTTCAGACCCTATAATACCATGCTTAAAAAAGTTGAAAAGAGAATTAACAATTAAAAATAAAATGACAAAATATAAACAACAATATTCAGTATTTTGGATAATTAAAATAAAAAGCCAAGAGTCCAACAGGATCCAAAATGATGCAGGTGCTTACAGCTCCGTTTGTTCCAGCAGAAGTTCCGGAACGATCCGTACGTCACCACGCTGGGAGGCTTCTCTAAAGTGACCAACTACATCTTCGATGCTTTCCGGGGGACCGAGGAGCAGCACCAGCGCCCCCCGGAGGAGGTGGCCGACCTGCTGGGGGAGGTGATCCCCGGGCTGGAGATCAACCAGCAGGAGGAGCCCGGCTTCGAGGTCATCACCAGGGTAACAGTAGTATTATCACTGTAGCTTCACGAAACAGACACAGGTCGGCTGGTCCGTTACGCCGTGAGAATACACCAACGAACAACACATATCAAGTCAAATTCAACTTAATTTTCAATCTCAAAATATGTTTGTACACACAGAAAGATCGAAATACTGTTTCCCACAGTCCCGAGGTATAAAAAACTCACACATTAAAATGCAAGAACACTCAATAATTTACAAAAAAAACACAATAATATTACAAAAGTGTGACTGGTGCTGGATTTGTTGTGTCTGTGTGGGGGGGGTACATATACATAGCCAAACATATTAGCATAGTGTGCTACACACATATGAATGAAAATAGGACATCACGCCCACATGAAAACACAAAACAAATACCTCGTTGGGCGCTTGTCGTGAAAGGAGATTATTTGAATCTTTAAAGTTCTCTTTCTGAATAACTTTATGTCACGATGAAGCAGAGCTTCAAATAAAGACATCAACCCACGTTGAGTTGCCCAGTGCGTCAACAAAACACGCAGTACCAGCACATGAACAAACATTAGTTCCCAGGCACAAAGAACAACCAACCCTTACGCATATTGGTGTAACGTATAAAACAAAACTGTATTCAATCATGCCATATTTTAACTTCATAACAGATGACAAATCCGAAAAGAAATAATAGTAATAATAATATTACAAATACAAGAACTGTGGGTTTTCTCTGGAAGTGTTTCCTTGTACGATGTGAGGGTCTAAGGACAGAGGGTCTAAGGACAGAGGGTCTGAGGACAGAGGGTCTGAGGACAAAGGGTCTGAGGACAGAGGGTCTGAGGACAGAGGATCTAAGGTCAGAGGGTCTGAGGACAGAGGGTCTGAGGACAAAGGGTCTGAGGACAGAGGGTCTGAGGACAGAGGATCTAAGGTCAGAGGGTCTGAGGACAGAGGGTCTAAGGACAGAGGGTCTGAGGTCAGAGGATCTAAGGTCAGAGGGTCTGAGGACAGAGGGTCTAAGGACAGAGGGTCTGAGGTCAGAGGATCTAAGGTCAGAGGGTCTGAGGACAGAGGGTCTGAGGACAGAGGGTCTGAGGACAGAGGGTCTAAGGAGAGAGGGTCTGAGGTCAGAGGATCTAAGGTCAGAGGGTCTGAGGACAGAGGATCTAAGGTCAGAGGGTCTGAGGACAGAGGGTCTAAGGACAGAGGGTCTGAGGTCAGAGGATCTAAGGTCAGAGGGTCTGAGGACAGAGGGTCTGAGGACAGAGGGTCTGAGGACAGAGAGTCTGAGGACAGAGGGTCTGAGGACAGAGGATCTAAGGTCAGAGGGTCTCAGGACAGAGGGTCTGAGGACAGAGGGTCTGAGGACAGAGGGTCTGAGGACAGAGAGTCTGAGGACAGAGGGTCTGAGGACAGAGGGTCCGAGGACAGAGGGTCCGAGGACAGAGGGTCCGAGGACAGAGGGTCCGAGGACAGAGGGTCCGAGGACAGAGAGTCTATGGACAGAGGGTCTGAGGACAGAGGGTCTGAGGACAGAGGGTCTGAGAGGGTCCGAGGACAGAGGGTCCGAGGACAGAGAGTCTATGGACAGAGGGTCTGAGGACAGAGGGTCTGAGGACAGAGGGTCTGAGGACAGAGGGTCTGAGGACAGAGAGTCTGAGGACAGAGGTCTAAGGACAGAGGGTCTGAGGACAGAGGGTCTGAGGACAGAGGGTCCGAGGACAGAGGGTCCGAGGACAGAGGGTCCGAGGACAGAGAGTCTATGGACAGAGGGTCTGAGGACAGAGGGTCTGAGGACAGAGGGTCTGAGGACATAGGGTCTGAGGACATAGGGTCCCGTATTGTCATACTGATATTCTGTAAACTGAAGTCCACTGAGACAAATGTAACATTTGTGATATTGGGCTATAAATAAACATTGATTGATTGATTGAAGAATGTATACATTATTAATACTCAGGTATACATGAATTATCTTCATTATATTGTTCTATACTTGACCCATTTTTCCCACCTTTCCTCAAAGATATGCATTTGGTTTCTAATCGAGTTGTTTTCTCCATTACATAGATTTCATTTACTAAGTTATTATCTTTTAGACGCTATTGCAATGACAAGAAATAGGTAGGAATCTTTATTATTATTTTAATTATTATTGAAATCTGTTCCTATAGGCCCACACCCCAGTGTATCAGTGTGTCCTCACTGAGCAGCTGCTCTGTCTCTCTCTCCTCCTGCTGCCTCAGCTGATAGAGGTCACAGTGCTTCATCTTGTTCTGCAGCATGTTCTTCTCTCATGCCCCTTTCACACCGCAGCGGCGCCGGCTCTTAGCTCCGGAATCCGGTTCACTTCCAGCTCCAAAAAATTGTCGGTCTAGAGGCAAGAGCTTTGGAGCTAAGAGGTGGCGTCGCTTACGTCTCTCTTACGTCGAGGCGTGCAGGAAACTAAACCCTCCTCCCCTGAACATGGGTCGACTGTCATGCCTGCCTTCAAGCAGTAGTGCTTATAAACACACTTTATAAAGTCAGGCAACACTAACCAGGCTTCGTGTGATTCTGTTTATTTGTACCTTACTTTGACCATCCGTTCACTGTCATTGATCATTGTGGAGAGAGGCAGACGTGTTGTTTTGTATTATAGCAGCTATCGGATGGAATCAATACATGGGCTGCACAGGTTGTCGTGTCCGACTATCACAAGTAGAATCATAATAAAAATACGCCGGTGAAATGTACCTGTAGAAAACGGTTTATGCCACAATAGGATAGCAATAGCAAGTAGTCAGTTTAGCTTCGGTTGCTATGCTAACATCACCCATTTTATACCAGAGAAACTTTCATAACAGCGTTGTGATACCAAACAGCGTCAATTCAGACTGACACACATTCACTTAGGCTAAGGGGAACTGGGGATATGTATCAGCTGCTTGTGAGTCGGACAGTGAATACTTTAGAGCGGCCGCTGCAGTGTGAGCTAACCGGGAGCTAACGGAGGAGAATAAACTCCCGTGGAAGAGCAGCCAACACTGCAGCGGTCGGTAAATGCTGCAGAAACACATTAATAAACTATGAACCACGGCACTCTGGAGCAAAGTATAAGGTTGGAGAAGTCGTTATTCAATTTAATCTGGCTTCGTGTGATTAAAAGCAACACGATCATCGACCCGACGCAGTTGTTGTTGTTGTGAGCGCCGTAACGCCGTTGGGGAGCAAATCAGCCATGTAAACGGTGACGTCATGACGCAGCAGCGGCAGCACCAGTCGGGCTCTGGGCGGTGTGAACAGAGCGGGAGCAGAAACGGGAAACCGGAGCTGAACCAGAAAAGCTCTAGCTCGGAGCTAGAAAGGGAAAAGCGCTGGTGTGAAAGCCGCATCAGAGCTGAATATGGTCTGGGGGAGAGATCTCCAGAAACACAGATCACATCTCTCCAAATAAACCCTCAGTGTTTCCATCAGAGTTCCTGCTCTCTCCGTGTCTCTACAATTATTGTGGGGGAAACTTCTGAAGCATTGGAAACAGGACTCAGAGAGACACGAGGAGAGCTGGAGCTTTGATGGCAAACACTGAGGGTTTATGAGCCATAGGGATGGGTATCGAGAACCGGTACTAAGTCAATACCGGTACCTGATTGGATGGTATCGGTATACCGTTAAGCCGCTGGACAAACGGCGCTGCTATCGGTATGTGTGTTACGTCTACTTCCTTAGTTTAACTTTGAACCATTCTGGTTGGTTGGGAACCCTCATCCCGTGCGATGTATCCGGTTTGAGACCCCTCTGATTGGCCACTGTAAATGCCACTCGTCATCTCTCTCAACAGCACTCTTATTATTGTTGTGAGACTCCCGCAGGCATGGCGGACAGAGCGAAGCCATCGAAGGTCTGGGTGCACTTCAAAACATGTAGTGGCGATAGTGCAAGGTGCAATGTATGTACTCAATGAGTTGCTTGTAAAGAGGGAAACACGAGCAACTTCATGAAGCATTTGCAAACGAGACACTCATTGAATCTAAAACGGAGCAGCGTCTTCGGCAGCCTAACGATGTGGCTGCTAGCGATAGTGCTAATAGTGCTAGCGGGCTTCAGCCGCGCCGCCATGTGTAAATGTGACCTGAGCGAAGGCTCGCAGGCAGGTTAGCTGCTGCGCACGGGTAATATGTTTTGTTTACCTGAGTGCAGTCTTGCAGGCACATCGCCTTGTCTTGTTTGTTTGTTAACACTGACAGTGTATTGATGTGAGCTCCTACACCTATAATAATGTGGCCTTTCATTGAATGCTTTATAAACCAGTTAAACTCACAGATGTCATTGTGAATTGGAAAACTGCATTTAAATGTTGTTAAAGGTCAACGTTTCAATGGTTCAGCAATTGTTGGTCGTTTTCTAGGAATTGACATATTTTAAGCTCAAATACTTTGTTCTACGTTTAAACCTTCAGACAGTTTGACGTGTTTCAGTTCAGCACATCATTCATTTTGTGATGATTTAAAAGTACAATCCAGAATAATATACGCACTCGCCTTTATCTTTTTGCCATCTTAGCCTTTTGACCAATTCCTTCAATTCCCAATCACAGTTTTGCATGATGTCACTGTAGGCCAATGTTTGAAGGGTCTCTTGTCGAGCTAGGTTGTCCATTTGAAATGTCTGGATGAAGATGTAACTGATTTACTCTTTTCATCCTCTGTCTGAGGGAAACCCCAAAAGCATGACCGGGCGAGCCAGGCCTCTTTAAGTTATTTTATTTATTTGTGTCTGCTTTGAGAAGCTAATGTAAGTTATACAGTTATTTCTGCAAGAAAATTACAACAAAATGACTGTTTAATCTTCACATCTTGTATTCATGTCTATCATTTTGAGCACCAAATTATTGACAAGTATCGATAAGAGTATAGAAAAATACCGATAAGCAGTACCGGTATCGATAAAATCCTAACGATACCCATCCCTAATGAGCCACAAGTTGACCACCGGTAGAGATGCCAAATCAATTCTGAAGAACCCTTCCTCTCGTATGAGGTTTTGACTAGTTTCGTTAAGGGTAATCAACATTCTTCATTAGTTAGCTAAACAGCTGAGGACACTTAATCAACTTTATTTGTCGCTTATGGCTCGGGGTCATCTACACCCCGAGAAGGATGTGTTCCAGGTAGTGCTGCGTACCTGGACTCACATTCAGGTTCAGGTCCGGACTCAAGTCCAGAGGTTCAGGTTCAGGTCCGGACTTATAAGTCCGGACCTGAACCCATGGCTTGTGTCAAGTTGTGTGAGTAACTAAAGTGAACTTATTGTGAGCTAATTATCAATTGAAAATGAACTCATAATCAACTCAAATTCAAACTCGTCAGGTTTTTTGCGCTCCCTTCCAACTTGTGTCTACATTTCTCTACAAAGTACAAATGTAAAAAAAACACTTTTTGCACTCATTTATTGAGGCTGAATAACGTTTATCAGGGAATGTTTAAATAACCACAGGCACCAGAATATACGTAAGTGCTAGTTTTTTTGCGAGTCCAAGTACCGGTTCCCGACGTTCCGGTTTTAACCGGACTTGAACCGAAACTTTTTACAAGTCCAGTACCGGTTCGGCGTACCGGTACGCAGCACTAGTTCCAGGTGTCCCACAACAATAACTATCTCTGACCGAGAGCTGCCCGGTCATAAACTGGCAACAACAACAACTTGCTAGGGCAGCGCCTCCTTCAGGGAGATAGTGGCTGCTCAGGGTTGGTCAGCTGCGTCAGAGGGCGAAGGAGGACATGCAGGGCAAATGATTCCCTCACAAAATGATTATTACTGATATTATTTACCCCTCAGATGGACCTTGGGGTGCGGCCCCCGGTCTCCAGGAGGGACCCCGTCTCTTCAGAGGAGTGGAGCAGACATCAGGACGCAGAGGGGAGGATGATCAACGTCCCTCTGCTCAAACAGATCATCTTTAAAGGGGTCAGTTCACTTCATGAGTCATCTTTAAAGAGTCAGTTCACTTTATGACTCATCTTTAAAGAGTCAGTTCACTTAATGACTCATCTTTAAAGGGGTCAGTTCACTTTATGACTCATCTTTAAAGGAGTCAGTTCACTTTATGACTCATCTTTAAAGAGTCAGATCACTTTATGACTCATCTTTAAAGAGTCAGTTCACTTTATGACTCATCTTTAAAGAGTCAGTTCACTTCATGACTCATCTTTAAAGAGTCAGTTCACTTATGACTCATCTTTAAAGAGTCAGTTCACTTTATGACTCATCTTTAAAGGGGTCAGTTCACTTTATACATGTTAAAGAGTCAGTTCACTTCATGACTCATCTTTAAAGAGTCAGTTCACTTTATGACTCATCTTTAAAGAGTCAGTTCACTTTATGACTCATCTTTAAAGAGTCAGTTCACTTTATGACTCATCTTTAAAGGGGTCAGTTCACTTTATGACTCATCTTTAAAGAGTCAGTTCATTTAATGACTCATCTTTAAAGGAGTCAGTTCACTTTATGACTCATCTTTAAAGAGTCAGTTCACTTAATGACTCATCTTTAAAGGAGTCAGTTCACTTTATGAGTCATCTTTAAAGAGTCAGTTCACTTTGAGTCATCTTTAAAGAGTCAGTTCACTTCATGAGTCATCTTTAAAGAGTCAGTTCACTTCATGACTCATCTTTAAAGAGTCAGTTCACTTTGAGTCTTCTTTAAAGAGTCAGTTCACTTTATGAGTCATCTTTAAAGAGTCAGTTCACGTTGAGTCATCTTTAAAGGGGTCAGTTCACTTATGAACTCAGTCTTAAGAAGTCAGTTCAC